TGAGTAAATGTATGCATGAAACAAATAAGTAAGTTGAAATGACGTTTATCGACCCATTCATTTTCATCATTATTTTTTGCTGTTACGATCAATTACACTTATGATAATTACAGATTTCTCCGAATTGTTTGCATATATGAAAATTCTCCTTCAAACTAATTATTACAAACTCGACTTTAATTATTTGTAGTTATAAACTTTTCTACTTTAACTACTATTTCATTCATTTATTTTTCAAAATTCTTGTTAAACTGGAAAGATGAGTTTGCAATTTTTCGTCAAAGAGTGAAGTGGTTCACTCAAATTTAATTTTTTATACTATCTTACTGATATTATCGATGAAAACAAACGGTGAAAATCATAAATTACTTTTTATCCAAAATATTTTTTCTTCATTGTTATGATTGATATCGTACTTCCTTACTTCTAAGGAACAAAAAAGGCAACTTTCCAGTGTGTGCACAGAAATTAATTTTATAAGCAAACAGATTGTAAATGAAAAATAGCAGGGAATTATTAAGTAAGAGGATTAAGAATTGATGAAATTTATTCCTAATTAGAGCTTTTTTCTTCAAAAATTTTATAAAACGAACAGATGAAACGTAATGACATTGTGAAGATTTTAAAATTTCTAAAAATGGTTCATTTTTAGCTTAAATAGATCCCAAAAAAATTTTAAATGTTTCATTACCAATTTTTAGCTTCAAATCAATTTTTTTCTGAAAACAATTTGAAAGTGATAATTCCATTGGATTTTTCTTCGTTTTTTGTTTCATCTAAAAATAGGTGTGTTTGTTAATATTATTTTCAATGTATGTTGAGGGTGGAATTAATATTTAAATATAAAATGAAGCATTAATTAAAATTTGAAGCTAAATCATTAATCAATAATCGCAAAATCTATCCATGTTTATGCAATAATTATTTATCAATTAACAATTGCATAATTTAATTAGAATTGATTAAATTTTTCATTAAATTCCAAAAAACTTTTCAGCTTATTTCTTTGAATTTTTGAAATCCATCCATGCATAGGCGAAACCCAAAAATATTTGGTTTCAGAAAAATATCTTGTTTCAGCTATATTATTTGAAGATAAATCACAAATGATCATAATTATACTTGAACAGATGACGAGAAGCAGCCTGAAAAAGGAAATCCGGTTTTTTAATTTATCGAATTGGTGTATTCAAGATATTGCAAAAGATTATCTGGAAATTTATCCCTGCTAAGCTATAGCTTAGGTGCTGTATTTTTCAATTATAACATTTATGATTTTGTAACATAAAATTTTAATTTTTCTAGCATTAATAAAATTAAAATTGTGTATATTAGAATTTTGTCTAAAGAAAACTTTAAATGAACTTATGATTATTTCAATAAATGAGCATTTTCTAATCCCACTTAGAGAATAAAAATTTGAAAATCATTTCATCAAATGCTTTTTCGATTAATTTCGTACATTCATTTCTGCTTTCAATTATTATTCGCAAAACAAGCAAAACAAAAAAATTTGTGCAGAAATTTAATGGGAAGTGTTTTTTAGATTCTTTTTTTTTAAAAAAGAGAAGGAAGGAAAAAAGAGACGCTTCCCATTGAATATTTTTATTTTTTTCCTTGTTTTAGGAACAATTTAAAGGAAAGTTAAAAGTGTTTGAAAAATGGAGTGACAATTAAAAATGATTGCTTACAGCATATTGCTAGCATTTTCTTTTTTATGATCAATAAACGCATATTTAAAACACATATAACATTACTGAATAAACTTGATTGGTTAATATTGATTAATTAATTTAAGCATACAATATGCATAATATTGCAATAAAAAGTTTGAAAGATGACAATTTTGATAATTTTTGTCATCAGCAGATAATATCAAAGTGTTTTGAATCAAAGTTATCTATAACTTAATATTTTCCTAA